GGGAGCCGCCGCTCCCGCTGATCTGCGGAGCCCTTTCGCCTCCCCTGCCGGGCGCGGTGTTCCCGGGGAGCCCGCGGGACGGCTTGGGGTGGGGTTTGACGGTTCGTTTCGACCGTTGGGCGGGCAGAACGTTGCCGGGGGCCTCGCGCTACGAGCAAGTGCCGAGAGGGGTTCTCAGCTCTCCCGGTCCGGAGGTTTCGGGAGTGATTCCCGCGGCGGCGGCGCCGCAGCGCGCTCGGCGACTTGGAAGGTAAACGGGTTTGTTAGAGATCTACTGGCGCTACCTACATCTGCCTGCTCGATATTCTCTTAATCGCAGCTACGCTAATATAACCTGATTCAGGAAGTGACCCCATGATCTCCCCACTTTCTTAGTGCTTTTATTTCTATAAATTACTTACATTTAAATACAAATGCGTTGCTGTGGAATTATCTGGACTGTGCACCTTGTGCATAGGTTTATGTGCTGGTATAAGTTTCATGAACAATTTAGTGGCGGGGGAAAAAAAGTCTCTTTCTGTGTTAGTTGTTTGTGCCGTTAGTTCTGGTGACCTGCAAGTAAGTGCAAAGAAGCTTTCCCAGAATCAAATGATCAAAGCAAAAATGGGATCTTCTGTGATGTAAACATAGTCCAGAAAACATATTACAAAACTAAGCATCTTGTGTGCTTTCGCAGCGTAGGGAAATCAGATAGGAACCCCTGGATGCATATAAAAATATTTTTGGTCTCCTTGTGGTGGCCTGCATGTTCCTGATGCAAAAGTTTATTATCATTTATTATCATTCATCAAACGATGCAGATAAATATTGTCTGAGATCTATTTCAGTTAATGGTAGGGTGACCTTACTCTGAATTGCAGTAAGCATAGCTGTTGTTTTAAGCAGCAACTTTGTCTATTCACAGCAGTGCCACCAATGTTGTTGTTTTTGTACTGTTTATAAATGAAATGGAAGCACAAACTTCTCGCTTTCCTGAAGAAGCAACATAATGTTTGCCAGTGTTGCTGGTGAAAGAATACAAACAGGTGAAAGTCTGTATTTTCTCAATGACCACTGACATTTTTTTCCCCCTTCCCCTCTTATCTTACCACAGCTTTGCAGACAAGTGCTGGGACCCAGCCTACATCTAAGTATGCAGGCTGTGAATACGCTTCTGAAAAACTTTGCCAGGTGCTCTGCCTTTCCCTTCGCTGTACAACATGGGGTAAAAAAGGACTTGTTTCCACTCCATAGAACTCTGATCTTATCACCTTGCTTAAAGGAGGGCTCTTCACACAGTGCCTCTGAAAAGCTGGATTTAGATGAGTGGAAGAAGGTAATGAAATCTGGGGCGCAAGAAGCCAGTGAGGCAGTGTCTGAGCATAACGAGCTCTCCACTGTGGCTGCTGCACGTGAGGCTGTGGAGATGTGGAGACTGGCTGGCAGGTCAGTTCCTGAAAACATCAGTGATGACCAGCTAAAAACCTTAATGGAGTGCCCTTCTAAGGCATCTAGGAAGAAGTATTTAAAGTTCTTGTATCTAAAAGAACTTTCCAAGAAAAATGACAAAATAAAGATGGAAAAGAAAAGGGAAAGAAGGCTGGAAACCCAGGTGGAGGGCGATTCAAAACCGCATGAGATCAAAAGGAATTCATTCATCTGCTCGTGGGCCAGTGCTATGGATAGAATGCAAAATTGGAGGGTCGCTCAGTCTATGATCTTTGGCCAGCCTCTAGTATTTGACATGTCTTTTGAAAATGATATGTCACCCAGAGAAGTAGCAAATACGGTTAAACAGATAGTATTCAGTGAAAGCTCTAATCGAAAATCCATGGATCCTTTCCACATTCACTTCTGTAACTTCCAAGATAACAGCCAATACCACAGAGAATTCATCACACATTACAGACAGGCATGGGACAAATTACTTATCACTGTGACAGAGCGGTGCTACACAGAAGTGTTTCCGAAGAACAAGATCATCTATCTGACAGCTGATTCTCCCAAAGTCATGAAGACATTTGAGCACGATAAAGTCTACATCATTGGCTCAATGGTTGACAGAAGCATCAAGACAGGGGTTTCTTTAGCGCGAGCAAAACGATTGGGGCTGGAAACGGCCAGTCTTCCACTGGAGAGGTACTTGCTTTGGAGTTCAGGTGCCAAAAATCTCACGTTGGATCAAATGATGGATATTCTATTAACGCTAAAAGATACTGGAGACTGGAGGAAGGCTCTGGAATTTGTGCCAAAAAGGAAATATTGTGGCTTTGTAGGCAAGTCTGTTAGTGATCTGAGAAAAAGCTTAGATCTGGTGAATGCACTCAAACTTGGAAAGAGACAGGAAGAAGTACAAGCAAGGCAATTTGCAAAGAACTACTCTAAGAAGCTAATACGGAAGTAGAGTGATTAGGAAGAGAATGAAATTTAGGGATGGATTATGCTCTTGAATACCTGTGTTCTCGTGCGGTAGTCTTTCAAAAATGCTTAGACAAATTTGACAGGACTGGTGAATCATTTCTTTAATGTCCATAGTTTTACAGCTGTTTTTGTATATTATTCTCAGAGATAATCTGTTCGCCAAACTGCACCATTAAAAGAAGATAAATATGTTCCATTGATTCTAGTACTAGAGTGATTTTAACTGAACTATTTTTTTTCCTGTGGGAAATAAAGAAAAAGTGTGCTTTTGAGTTTGCACGCTGAGGCAATCCACACTCCTACTCTGAAAGGCTAGCTAAAACCATTTGGAAGACCTTTACCTGAAAGCTCTTGTGTCTTCCACATGTAGAGTAGAATTTACTTGTGATGTGCTGGCTGTGCCACCCTGTGCCACATGCTCCAGGTATCCCTGCTGGAGCAGGGGGTTGAACTGGATCATCTCTAAAGGTCCCTTCCAACCTCAGCCATTCTGTGATTCTGTGTGATATACTGGCTGTTATCAGGAGCAGCCAGCAGGACCAGGGAGGTGATCGTCCCCCTGTGCTCAGCGCTGGTGAGTCCGCACCTCAAATCTTGTGTTCGGTTTTGAGCCCCTCACTGCAAGAAGGACATGGAGGTGCTGGAGCGTGTCCAAGGAAGGAGAACGAAGCTGGGGAAGGGGCTGGAGCACAGACCTTATGAGGAGCTGCTGAGGGAGCTGGCATTATTTAGTGTGGAGAAGAGGCTCAGGGGAGACCTTAGCACTCCCTACAATTACTTGAAAGGAGGTTGCTGTGGGGCAGCAGTTGGGTTCTCCAGAATAACTACCGATAGCACAAGAGGAAATGACAGAATCACAGAAATGCCCTCGAGTTGTGCGGGGGAGGTTCAGGTTAGACATCAGGAAGAATTTCTGCACAGAAATAGGGGTGAAGCCTTGCAGCAGGCAGCCCAGGGAGGTGGTGGAGTCCCCGTCCTTGGCACTGTTCAGGGAACGGGCCGAGGAGGCGCTTGGGCACACGCCTGAGCGGGGCGGGCGGGCCATAACGCAGCCGCGACCGCGCGCCCGGGCCCCGGGGCAGCGCTAACGG